TGTGCATGGCATTCTCCAGGCAAGAATACTGGAGTGGATTGCCATGCCCTTCTCCAGGGGATCTTCCCAACCCAGGGATCAAACCGGAGTCTCCTGTGTCTCCTGCATGCAGGACAATTCTTTACTGCTGAGCCACCAGGAAAGCACTTCCAGGCTCCTCAGTTTAGTTTGGTCGCTCAGTTGGGTTCAACTCTTTGTGACCTCATGGACTGCAGCACACCACGCTTCCCTGTCCATCACCAACTCTTGGAGCTTGCTCAAACTCATGTCCATTGAGTCAGTGATGCCATCCAACCATTTCATTCTCTGTTGTCCCCTTCTCCTCCTGCCTTTAATCTTTCCCAGGATCAGGGTCCTTCCCAATGAGTCAGTTCTTCGCATCAGGTGGCCAAAATATTGGAGCTTCAGCTTCAGCATCAGTCCTTCCAATGAATATTCAGGACTGATTTCCCTTAGGATGGACTGGTTTGATCTCCTGCAGTCCAAGGGACTCTCAAGAGTCTTCTCCAACACCACAGTTCAAAAGCATTAATTCTTCAGTGCTCCGTTTTCTTTATCGTCCAACTCTCACATCCACACATGACTACTGGAAAAACCATAGCTTTGACTAGACGGACCTCTGTTGGCAAAGTAATGTCTCTGCTTTTTAATATGCTGTCTAGATTGGTCATAGCTTTTCTTCCAAGGAGCAAGTGTTTTTTAATTTCATGGCTGCAGTCACCATCTGCAGTGATTTTGGAGCCCAAGAAAATAAAGTCTGTCACTGTTTCCATTGTTTCCCCATCTATTTGCCATGAAATGATGGGGCCGGATGCCATGATCTCCGTTTTTTGAATGTTGACTTTTAAGCCAGCTTTTTCACTCTCCTCTTTCACTTTCATCAAGAGGCTCTTCAGTTCCTCTTTGTTTTCTCCCATAAGGGTGGTGTCATCTGCATATCTGAGGTTATTGATATTTCTCCTGGTAATCTTGGTTCCAGCTTGTGCTTCATGCAGCCTGGCATTTCACATGATATACTCTGCATATTAGTTAAATAAGCAGGGTGACAAAATATAGCCTTGATATACTCCTTTCCCAGTTTGGAACCAGTCTGTTGTTCCATGTCCAGTTCTAACTGTTGCTTCTTGACCTGCATATAGATTTCTCAGGAAGCAGGTCAGGTGGTCTGGTATTCCCATCTCTTTCAGAATTTTCCATAGTTTGCTGTGATCCACACAGTCAAAAGCTTTGGCATAGTCAATAAAGCAGAAGTAGATATTTTTCGGAACTCTCTTGCTTCTTCGATGATCCAACGGATGTTGGCAATTTGATCTCTGGTTCCTCTGCCTTTTCTAAATCCAGGTTGACAATAAATGCTGGAGAGGGTGTGGAGAAAAGGAAACCCTCTTACACTGTTGGTGGGGATGCAAACTAGTACAGCCACTATAGAGAACAGTGTGGAGATTCCTTAAAAAACTGGAAATAGAACTGCCATATGACCCAGCAATCCCACTCAGGGGCATACACATGGAGGAAGCCAGATCTGAAAGAGACACGTGCACCCCAATGTTCATCGCAGCACTGTTTATACTAGCCAGGACATGGAAGCAACCTAGATGCCCATCAGCAGACGAATGGATAAGAAAACTATGGTACATATACACAATGGAATATTACTCAGCCATTAAAAAGAATATATTTGAATCAGTTCTAATGAGATGGATGAAACTGGAGCCCATTATAGAGAGTGAAGTAAGCCAGAAAGATAAACACCAATACAGTATACTAAGGCATATATATGGAATTTTAAAAGATGGTAATGATAACCATATATGGAGGACAGAAAAAGAGACACAGATGTATAGAACAGACTTTTGGACTCTGTGGGAGAAGGCGAGGGTGGGATGATCTGAGAGAATAGCATTGAAACATGTATATTATCAAGTGTGAAACAGATCGCCAGCCCAGGTTGGATGCATGAGACAAGTGCTCAGGGCTGGTGCACTGGGAAGACCGAGAGGGATGGGATGGGGAGGGAGGTGGGAGGGGGGATCAGGATGGGGAACACATGTAAATCCATGGCTGATTCATGTCAATGTATGGCAAAAACCACTACAGTATTGTAAAGTAATTAGCCTCCAACTAATAAAAATAAATGAAAAAAAAATGACAGGGAAAAAATGAAACAGAAAAAAATAAATAAATAAATCCAGCTTGAACACCTAGAAGTTCTTGGTTCACGTACTGTTGAAGGCTGGCTTGGAGAATTTTGAGCATTACTTTGCTAGGGTGTGAGATGAGTGCAACTGCGGTAGTTTAACATTCTTTGGCATTGCTTTTCTTTGGGATTGGAGTGAAAACTGACCTTTTCCAGTCCTGAGGCCACTGCTGAATTTTCCAAATTTCCTGGCATATTGAGTGCAGCACTTTCACAGCATCATCTTTTAGGATTTGAAACAGCTCAGCTGGAATTCCTTCACTTCCACTAGCTTTGTTTGTAGTGATACTTCTTAAGGCCCACTTGACTTTGGACTCCAGGATGTCTGGCTCTAGGCGAGTGATCATACCATCGTGATTATCTGGGTCATTAAGGTCTTTTTTGTAGAATTCTTCTGTGTTTTCTTGCCACATTTTATTAATATCTTCTGTTTCTATTAGGTCCATACAATTTCTGTCCTTTGTCGTGCCCATCTTTGCATGAAAAGTTCCCTTGGTATCTCTCATTTTCTTGAAGAGATCTTTAGTCTTTCTCATTCTATTGTTTTCCTCTATTTCTTTGCATTTTCACTGGGGAATGCTTTCTTATCTCTCCTTGCTATTCTTTGGAACTGTGAATTCAGGGTATATATTTCCTTTTCTCCTTTGCCTTTTGCTTCTCTTCTTTTCTCAGATAACCAGTTTGCCATTTTGCATTTCTTTTTCTTGGGGATGATCTTGATCACTGCCTTCTGTACAATGTCATGAACCTCCATCCATAGTTCTTCAGGCACTTCTTTCAGATCTAATCCCTTGAATCTATTTGTAACTGCCACTGTATAATCATAAGGGATTTGATTTAGGTCATACCTGAATGGTCTAGTGGTTTTCCCTACTTTCCTCAATTTAAGTCTGAATTTTGCAATGAGGAGTTCTTGATCTGAGCCACAGTCATCTCCCAGTCTTATTTTTGCTGACTGTATAGAGCTTCTCCATCTTTGGCTGCAAAGAATATAATCAATCTGATTTCAGTACAGACCATCTGGTCATGTTCATGTGTAGAGTCTTCACTTGTGCTGTTGGAAGAGGGTGTTTGCTATGACCAGTGTGTTCTTTTGTCAAAACTGTTAGCCTTTGCCCTGTTTCATTCTGTACTCCAAGGCCAAATTTGCCTGTTACTCCAGGCATCTCTTGACTTCCTAGTTTTGAATTCCAGTCCCCTATGATGAAAAGGACATCTTTTGGGGGGTGTTAGTTCTAGAAGGTCTTGTAGGTCTTCATAGAACCATTCAACTTCAGCTTCTTCAGCATCACTGGTTGGGGCATAGACTTGGATTACTGAGATGTTGAATGGTTTGCCTTGGAAACAAACAGAGATCATTCTGTCGTTTTTGAGATTGCATCCAAGTACTGTGTTTTGGACTATTTTGTTCTTTACAAGGGCTACTCCATTTCTTCTAAGGGATTCTTGCCCACAGTCGTAGATATAATGGCCATGTGAGTTAAATTTACCCATTCCAGTTCATTTTAGTTCACTGATTCCTAAAGTGTCGATGTTCACTCTTGCCATCTCCTGTTTGACCACTTCCAATTTGCCTTAATTCATGGACCTAACATTCCAGCCTCTTATGCAATATTGTTCTTTGCAGCATCAGACTTTACTTCCATCACCAGTCACATTCACAACTGGGTGTTGTTTTCCCTTTGGCTTCATCTCTTCATTCTTTCTGGAGTTATTTCTCCACTGATCTCTAGTAGCATTTTGTGCACTACTGATCTGGGGAGTTCATCTTCAGTGTCATATCTTTTTGCCTTTTCCTACTGTTTATGGGGTTCTCAAGGCAAGAATACTTAAGTGGTTTGCCATTCCCTTCTCCAGTGGACCACATTTTGTCAGAACTCTCCACCATGACCCGTCCGTCTTGGGTGGCCCTGCATGGCATGGCTCATAGTTTCACTGAGTTAGACAAGGCTGTGGTCCATGTGATCAGATTGGTTAGTGTTCTGTGATTGTGATTTTCACCTTGTCTGCCCTCTGACAGATAAGGATAAGTCAGAGGAAGCTTCCTGATGGGAGAGACTGACTGGGGGGGAAACTGGGTCTTGTTTTGATGGGCTGGGCAAAGCTCAGTAAATCTTTAACCCAATTTTCTCTTGATGGGTGGGGCTCTGTGCCCTCCCTGTCGCTTGACCTGAGACCAAACTAAGGTAGAGGTAATGACAATAATGGCAAACTGCTTCAAAATGTCTTTAACAGTGTGAGAATTTATTTGGTATAATTGTTCTGCAGTTTGTGGGTCGTCTGCTCGGTGGATTTATTGGTAGGGTTAATGGAAACCTCCAAAAGGGCTTATGCCACATGATGTGTGACCCGGGTCTGCTGCACCCAGAGGCCCTGTCCCTGTGGCAGGCCACTGCTGACCCATACATACCTCTGCAGGACTCACGCGACACAGAGGCAGGTCTGGCTCAGCCTCTGTGGCTTCTCTGGGTGCTGTTGTGCACAGGGTGTGGTTTGAGCCCTCCGAGCATCTCTGGTGGGTATGGGGTTTGATTCTAAAGGCAATGATGGCACTCCTACCATCTTGCGAGGGCTTCTCCTTTGCCCTTGGATGTGGGGTATCTTTTTTTCGTGGGATCCAACATTCTCCTGTCAATGGTTGTTCAGCAGAGAGTTGTAAGTTTGGAGTTCTTGCAGGAGAAGGTGATTGCACGTTCTTCTGCTCCACCATCTTGACCACAGCCTGTGTGTAGGGATAGAGTGTAGCTCCCCAGAAACACTGCGAGGTTCTGACCATTGAAGGCAGCCCAGACTGGGCACCCACTCACCCGTGCCTCAGTGCCAGGCGGATGAAGCCTTTACGATTCCGGAGAGTGAGGCAGTGCTCCCCTGGGACGGCATACAGGACCTCATTGGCCCCTCCGACCACGATGACCACAGCCCTGCCGAGCTGTGGTTCAGACAGAACAAAATCCAGGCTCTGACGGTTCACAGAACATACTCCTGTGGGCATGAGGAGGTTCAGGAACAGTCAGCCCCCCCTCATTGGCTCCATAGTCCCTCCCCTGTCCCTTTAGCACATTAAGTATCAGACATCACCCCCTTCTCTCCAAACTCCCTACCTCTGTGCGCCTGTCCACGTATCCTACAGTGACTCTCCCAGCGTGGATGCAGGACTCTGGGGCCAAGCCACCTCCTGACCCCCACTGGGAACCTGGCCACTTCAAGCCAAGTGCCTGGGGTGGGTGGTGAGTGGGGGTCACTCTGGCCAGATTGGGGTGGGGTCACTCTCTGTCACTCAGCTCAAACTCACCACAGGACAGAAAGTACTCTCGATGGCCTGGCATGTACAGGAGGCCATTCAACACGGCCAGTGAGAACCGAAGCCCTGGGAACTGCTGCGAGGAGCCAGTGCCCTCCGTGGCGAAGTTACAGAAGCTTCCGATGGCTATGATCCCGTGTGGGTGGGACACTAGCACGTAGTTCCTGTCTGGGGGCAGCTCTGCTGTCTTCACCAGCTGTGGGGGCAGGGGGCAGGATGCGGGAAAGGAAACAGAAGGCAGAACATCAGCTGAAAGGGCTTCCCTCCACATCAAGAGACTTGAGAGTTCAGGATCTAAGATGGGGTCAAAGGCACGAGGGTCCACTCTGGAACACCATCCCACCCCCTGCCCCATCACCTGAACTTCAGCAGCCAGAGGTGAGAATCCATCAAGGGGAGGAGAGGGGAGGTGGGGAGGTAAGGGAGAGGGAGGGGTGGAGCATCCCTTGGAGGGTGACCTGTTACCTTAATGGGGAAATAATCGCTCAGGTGTTTCCAAACAGTGCAGTTCTTCAACCACTGACAACGCCTTCCACCTTGGGCAGAGAGATAAGGGGGGAAGAATCACTACAGACACCATTTATCAGCTCTCACTACTGGGGCCCTTGTAATTGTTTAGCTGCTAAGTTGTGTCTGACTCTCTGTGACCCCATGGACTGCAGCATGCCAGCCTTCCCTGTCCTTCACTATTTCCCAGAGTTTGCTCAAACTCATGTCCACTGAGTCCATGATGCCATCCAACCACCTCATCCTCTCACCCCCTGCTCCTCCTGCCGTTGTTTAGCACTCACCTTGCTGGGGTGTGTCCCAGTCCAGGAATGACCATACCAAGTAGAGAAGAGAGAAACACCAGAGCGAGGTGAAGAGGAGGAAGACGCCAAGAAGGGAAAAGACAGGGCCTGGGGAAAGTTGGGAAAGGAAGATGGTTCAGATTGTGAAGCCGCAATGATTTCTCCCTTCTACCCTCACCAGTGAGATCCTTGCCTGTCTCCTTGCTAGACCATCTCCCTGCTAGACTTTGCCACGTCCCTCCCTTTGCCCTGGTCCGGTAAGGGGTGCTCCAGCCTTCCTAGCCTACCTTCCCTTTCCCTACCTTCCCAAGTGGACCCCTGCTCCCCTTACGCAGGAAGACGAAACAGAGCACATATTGGGAGATGCTCAGTACTTCTAACCACTGTTTCTTTAGGGTTTTCATGCTGGGGTGGGCAGTGGGGCGGTGGAGAGTCCCAGGTGCACCCCTTCAGCCAGTAGGGCTCCAAACGGGGGAAAATGGGATGAAGGCTTTGGTAGGAGCACAGGAAGCCTTTCTGGTCTGAGTGACCCAGCGCTTGGGATCTCCCAGGATCGCTTGTAGGGGGCTGTGTGTGGGGGGAGCCTCTCTAATCAGAGCCCCAGAGGTCTCCAGTCTGCTCTCACTTATCATGAACTGGTTGGTCTGGGCTGGTCTCTTCATGGGACTGGGAGACGGCCGAAGGGGCGTGCCATGGAGGTCTAGCCTTGGGTGCATTCAAAATCATTGTGAGGAGGGTTGCAGAAGCCAGGACCCCACACTGGATCCCAGCCCTGACTGTGTGATTGCGAGGATCCTGGACGAGCGCACACTTGTCTTTTCTGTTCTGGGAGCATCTAGGCCACTCGGAGGCATTACTTGGCACAGGGACATCAACCCTAAGGACAAACACAGTAATACCATATGTATATTTCCAGCTTTAAATTCAGCCCCGCCTAAACTCCTCCAGGGCCTGAGGCCAACTAGGTGAGGGTAGGAGGTGACTGTCGGCGGGGACCCCGAAGCACAGGATCTAATCTTGGAACAAGCTGCGAGAGCCATTCAGGACAACGAGGGCAGCATGGGCGCCTGTGCCGGGGTGCCCCCTCCACCCCCACAGCCCATCCAGCTGTACCCGGATGGGAGCCCCCTCTGTGGGCAGAAGAGGATCAAGAGGGGTGATTGCTGAGATGCTTTGAAGTCCCCTTCCTTCTCATGGGATTCCATGAGATCTGTCATGGGCTGTCATGAGATCTGTTCAGGGCTGGTGGGTTTGCCCAATGCCAGCCTGGGGGCGGGGCTGGCACCAAGTATTCAGGCCCCAACCTGGGAGCTTCACCTCCTAACCATGCGGGGGCCTTGAGCCCTGGAGGGGGGAGTGGGCTGGGGAGACTGGGAGCAGAGCAGGTAAAAGGTTTCAGGTGTGGAAGGGCAGGAGGAGGCCCTGGGGCCTGGAACATTCGTAGAGCCAGTCTCAGCAGCAGCCCAGTGTTTCCTGCATCTTTCCACAAAGAACCCGGTGGGCAGAGAAACTGTGGAAGGGCTCATTCTCCCCCAAAGAGAAGACCGGCACCGGGGAGGCTCTGGGGGCACAGGGACACCTGACTCTGGGGCCCTGGAGGCGGGGCTCCTCCCAAGAGGCTTTGCCCCAGAGTCCACCAACGCCACCCCCACCTCCCGGGTTCCTCACCGGAGGTCCAGCGCCAACTTGACAAATCCCTTCTGATGGCAGATCTGCAAGCTCAGCGATCTGATCTGGGATCTGGGCATTGACTCCAGTGGGTCCCTGGGCCCACCCAAGGCTAGAGGTCTGGGCCAGTGGGGCTCGCCATGTGGGTGTGTACCCTGAATAGCAGGGCTCCCCGTTTTTCCCCGGGGCCTGGCCCTGAAGGGTAGAGGATGTGCAGGAAGCTTTAATCCCTGAGGAGTAGCTTAGGCCCCGGTGGAGAGACCTCTGGGGGCATGGCTTTGTGGGAAATGCTAAGAACTAGGGAGCCCCTCCAACAGAGAGTCCACTGGGCAGGGCACACCCTCAGGTGGACTGGGGCCGGTCTTCACCGTGACCATGGCCCAGTTCAACAATGGCCAGAGGCAGTGAGCCAGCAGTTTTCAGGTCACAGAAAGTGTCCTTTCTTCTTGTTGTTGAGCTCCACTGTACCCTGTGGGATTTTATTTCCTGACCAGGGACTGAGCCTGAATCCTGGGCAGTGTGAACTCACAGTGCCGACCATTGTACCTCCAGGGAATTCCTGAATCATCACTTTTGAAAATGACTTTTTAATGAAAAGAAAATTGGACTTCCCCGGTGGTCCAGCACTTAGGAATCCCCTTGGGGAGACAGGAGATACAGGTTCGATCCCTGGTCTGGGAAGATTCCACCTGCCATCAGCCATCTAAGCCCATGTGCCACAATTACTAAGCTGGAACCAAACTACTGAAAACCTGAGCACTCAAGAGTCTGTTCTCAGCATCGTGGAAACCAGGGTTATGAGTTGCCCATGCACCACCAGTATGGAATAGCTCTGGCTTTGTGCAACTAGAGAAAGCCCCGCATGCAAAAGCAAAACCCCAATGCAGCCAAAAATAAAATAGAAAAAAAATTAAATTAAAAAGTTATTACAAATATTTCAAATTATTTATTTATCATTGGCTGTGCTAGGTCTTTGTTGCTGTGCAAGGGCTCTGTCTGGTTGCAGCGAATGGGGGCTCCTCTGCCTTGCTGTGCGTGGGCTTCTCATTGCGGAGCCTTCTCTACTTTCAGAATACAGGCCCTAGGCTCAGGCTTCAGTAGTTGTGGCTCCCAAGCTCAGCAGTTGCAGCTCTTGGTCACTAGAGTGGCCAGGTTTCAGTCGTTGTGGCCTTTGGGCTTAGCTGATCCTCGGCATCCTTAGTTGCTCCATGGGATCCTCTCGAACCAGGGATCCCATCTGTGTCCCCTGCACTGGCAGGCCGGTTCCCGTCCATTGGATCACATAAAGTCGCTCACAATATTTCACTGGTGCCATGCCTGTGATGATGATGGTGGTGATGGACACGATAGTGATAAATTCATTGGCTCTTCTTTTGCCAAACTCTTTTAAATTTTTTGATGCTAATAAGTTAGTTTTGCCAAGAGTCCCTTGTCACTGAGTGAATGAGTTCATGTGGACCAAATGCTGGGCTTGCAATAGGGCTTCATATGGTAAAATAAATCTCTGCTTCATGTGATCTCCCAGCCCCCAGGGAACAGGAAGGATGGGAGGAGATGCAGAAGGAAGCTGTGTACTTAACTCTTTCTCTTCTATCACGAAAGCTCATGCCAACCCTCCCTTCTGACAGGCACTCTTGACCCTTGTCAGCCTTTGGTCACAGTGTTTCACCATCTACCCTATTGTCTGCACCTACTTAAACGCTGTGCACACTCCAGAGACTAGTTCTTCAGGGATCTACCCTCCCCACCACCATTCTGATGCCCTGTATCTCTTAACTAAGCAGATGCCTTTATTCAGAGGGAGAAAGGCCTTAGCCAAGAGAAGAGACTTAGACGGAAGCTGATAGAGCAGAATTGAGTCTCTGGGAGGAGAATTCAGGGCCCTGCTCTCAGTCTAAGGCAGCAAGTCTGTCTCGATCAGGTGGAGATGGAACCCACGTGGGCAGGCTCACTCCCAGAGAGACTCTACGAAGCAGAGGTGAGAGAACTGGCTCTTGCTGGCACAGTAGCAGGCAGCCGGTGGGGGGGCTCAGGCCCTGGGATCAGGGGCTGGGGGGCCGGGAGGCGGGGAGGGGTGAGGCCAGGGCTGGATGGAGGTGCGGCGAGTAGAAGCCGGGCGGCCACAGCTCTCCTTGTGCTCCTCGAACGGTTGCTCCAGGGCATTTGTGTAGAGCATGTGATAGTGGTTCACCTGCTCCTTGGTGGGCTGCCGGCACTGGGGC